AAGTGTGAAGGCTGACTACACAGGAGAATTTTGACGAGCAGAGCTTGCATTGATTTACCATGTTTGCCCGTGGAAAACTCACCTCCCAGCTTGGGGGTGGGGTTACTCACAACAGGAATTAAATTATACATTGGAGAAATTAGGTGACATCATAACCAGCAAATCGAATGTATCAGACAAGAAGAGCCAGCAGATGGCCACTATGTGTCTCCAGATGTGAGATGGTGAGGCAGACACGACCTCACCCTGTGACTATATAGCTGGGAATGCATAACACACTCTAACCACAAAACATCAGAGAAGCATGAAAGGACTCTACTTGCTGACAAGAGGGAGGATGGTGTTAAAAACGTCCATACCATAAAAGAAAAAGAGACGCTAGGAAAACATTCCAGACCAAAGAGAACTGACAAAGTCTACAACATGGGGGAGGCATGGAGTATGGAGGATATTATCAGGTCAAGCAACAAAATGAGAGGATTTACAGTGACCATGCAGTAGTGATATATATTCATCATGTACGTAAAGCAACCTCCTGGGTTGAACAGCAGTGACCACCCCTGGCTACCATCACTTTCTGTGCACGCTCCCCAAAGCTCTCCCAATTTCTGACAGCAGGCTTAATTACTCTTGGTTGGGCTGCCAGGAAACTTTAGGTCTTAACGTCCTGTGACATTAAGCCTAGCTGAGTTTAGTATCAGTGCATTGTATATAAAGGACCTCCTGTATCATTTATGTATTCTTTCTTGTGGCCCACAAATACACTTCCTATATGCTAGGTTACAGGTGAAGTGTTTGGAATCGTACCCTCTCACTGTTGCCAAAGCTGAGAAAATTGATTCTGAATTCTTCCCCAATTTTTATCAAAATTAGCAAACTGGGCTATGCTAATGATTCTCGAGTTCTTATAATATGCTGACTCTCAGCATGACTCTAGACTCATGAAGCCCAGTTTTAATTCAGTGTCTCTACGTAGATGCCTGGAGGAAGTCTCAAACTCAAGCCGTGCACAGGAGCGTTCCTGGGCCGTTTCCCATACAGGTGCTCCTCCCTACTGAGGAGGGCTCCACCCCTCCTGTCTCCCAAGCCAAAGGCTGTTAAGTACCCAGGACTCTTCGGTCTGTCTCCCCACATCCAAAATACCCCGGTGGTTAAGTACAGAATTAGAACCCCTCAGTACTTCAGCTGGGCAAAGCACTGCTGTCTCCTGCCTTCACGGATGATGGACAGTTAGAGACACAAGCGCTCCCAGACTCATGGAGTCCTTACATCCCCAGACCAGTTAACATAGACATTCTGACCAATGCGTTGGTCAAACAGGAAACAGGAATAACAGAAACACATGAGCTACTTTCAGAGTGTGTGTGTGTGTGTGTGACTCTCTCTCTCTCTCTCTCTCTCTCTCTCTCTATATATATATATATATATATATATATATATATATATATGTATGTATGTATGTATATGTATATATATATAGTTATAGAGTTACACAATTTATGAGGATTACATTCAGAATTCATGGCTGCTGGGTGTGGGACTCATGTCTAATCTCAGCACTCAGAAGCTAAGTTGGAAGTGTTACATGGATTTTGAGGCCAAACCTGAGCTACAGATTAAAGAGTTACCTCCAAAAAAAAGAAGAAAGAAGAAAAAGAAAGGAAGAAAAAAGGTAGGGAAGCCAGAGAGAAGGCTCAGTGTTGTTCTGAGTTCAGCTCTGAGCACCCATGTCAGGCAGCTAACGCCTCCTGTGACCCCAGATCTAAGGGACCCAATGCTGTCATCTTTACTCTCATGTGCACAGACCCACACGCAGCCATTCCCAAATATGTAATTAAAACTAAAAAAATAAATAAAACACACCAAGAAAAACCAGTCAGAAAATGTCATAAAGAAAGTGCACATTGCAATAGCAGTAAGAAACAGTAAACCGCATGAAAATAGGATTTCAAAACTCCAAGCAGATGCATACATATGGATATAACAAGAAGGGAAATCTCTATGATACAATACTAACTACGAATGCACTCCCGCACTGAGCATGGCGCCTTCCCTACAGTTTCGGCACTTAAGAGGCAGAGGTGAGAAGACTCATAATTCCAAGGCCAGACTGGGCAATAGAATACAGAAGGATGCACACAATGATGCATGGGAAAATATCTCTATACATGCACACATAAACAGATAATACATTCACACTAATGAAGCAAAAAAAATATAAGCAATCATATCAAAATGTTAATAATCATTATCTCTAAATTTTAGGATAATGGAAAATACTTTCTTCTTCACTTGTATTTTCTGTACCTTCTCCCCTTATTATGCAAACCCTTTTCTCGGAGTTTATATTTCCTGTGAGGTGCAGTTTAAGCCACAGAACACTTTGAAGTGTGCATAATGCCTGAAAGCCTCTGAACTTGGCCTCAAAGCGCTTAGCACACGGAGTTAAGTCTCTAACCAGAGCAGCCGACCAGAAAACCAGCAGACTAAGCATTTCAGCCATTTTTCAAGCTGAATGAGATTACTGTTCCAGGTGATGGGTTTTAAGGGGCTTTTTAATTCAATCTGTGATTACAGCTAGGCCTCCATAATAATCAACCTAATTCTATGCAAATCACTGCCTCACAGAGAGGAACCCTGGTGGAGAAAGAGGGGAAAGCCCTGTAAGCAAGAATGCTCAGGAAATAGAATGTTTTGGTTAAATCAGTATGCCTATTTAATAACAAATTTAGGATGAAGTGTGCCCATAATCCCTTCAGATGGGATAAGGAGGACAATAAGGAATTCAAGGTCATAGCCTGGGCTACAAAGAGAAAAGCCTCTGCAGTAACTGGCCAGCTTTGGCATCTTATATGAAAGTCACTGACTCCTACACGTTCCAGGGCCCAGGATGATGAGAACACTGGAAGATGAGACCCAGGCCCCTCCCAACATCAATCCCATCTCAAGGCTAGGAAGGACACAGGCTGAGTAAATGCCTAGGAAACCAGCTGCTGTCTGGGGACACAGTATTACAGAGGCTGACCATGGGTAAGACACAATGACATCAACCTTGCTGTCCTCAGTTTTAGCTGGTAACGAAGACACGTAAGAAGCTGAAAGTTCAGGATACTGGTGATATTAGCAATTTCTTCTCCCAAGACAACAGAAGACATTTTAAATCGATGCAGTGGTAGCATACACATAGCTCGAAAATAAGAAAAGAGAAAGGGAACTCACAAAAATAATTTAGACCTAAGGGGAAGGATATTCTGAATAGCAGGTATGCCTCCCTGGGAGTAGTCTACCTCTCCTGGAGTCCTATCTATCCTGCATTTGGTAGATGGGACTCTTTGCATTAAGTCCTATGAACCTCACGGCAAGACAAAGAGAAAACTACAAAATACTACTAATTAGCTTCTCTACTTCTCAAATGACTTTAATCTACTCATACATTAGTGTATCTTTTAAGACTGACATATCTAATTAGACATTAAAGCAAAATTAATCCCCCCAAAAGAAACTATATAATTAATGTACAGTTGTATCTGACTTGGGAGCTATCACTGTCTGAAGATCTGGTAATCTCCCATCCTCACAAGTTCAAACTCACCTCAAAACCTAATTCTAATTTCATCAGCTAAATCTTTTGGGGGGGGGGCTAGAGCAGTGGTTCTCAACCTGTGGGTTGTGATCCCTGTAGGGGTGGAATGAACCTTTTATAAGGGTTGACTAAGATCACTGGAAGACACAGACACTACAATTCACAACAGTGGCAAAACTACAGTTATGAAGTAGAAAAAAATTAATTTTATGGTTGGGGGGTCACCACAGCATGAGAAAACACATTAAATGATCACAGCCCGAGGAAGGTTGAGAACCATCACCCTCGAGGAAGAACAGCTTGTATTAGTGTTTTGAACTTTGAAGTTCATCTCAAAAATCAGTTCCTTAGCCACTTAACAGACATTAAGAAGGAGTCTGTATGTGTAAGAGGCTTTGCTAAATACTAAATACTGTGTCCCCAACCCTTGGGGCTGCTAGCTCCATGTGTGGCCATATAAGTACCGGTTTATACCTAAAACCTTTTTAGCACCCAAACAAGGTCAATTCAAAGCTTGCCGTGGTAGCACACACCTGTCATACCAGTACTTGGAGGCTGAGTCAGCAGGACGCCTATGAGTTCAAGACTACCCACCCTGGGTTACACTGCAAGAGGCCAGACAAGAAAACATATCAAGATCCTGTCTGAAAATGAATTTATGAGAAGCATAAAAGAAGTTGGTTCAATTCCATACTCAGTTTTACTCCGCATGAAATCATAATAAAAAGAGACAGAGGAGGGCTCCCCTCCTACATCTTTCCACCCATTTACCCTACATGGGTTATGCTAAGCCAACAGCACAGAAGGCAGCATTATCCTCACAGACAGATCAAATGGAATCTCTCACACCCTTGCCACCTTGGCCCAGCTTCTATAAGCTACCTGTGAAGGTGTGAAAACACAGGCAGACCCACACACTGTACCCACTGCCCAAATGCTGCCACAGCGCCATGAGGTCAGCAGGCCCCGCCCCTCGGATTCTGGTCTCCCTTGAAAGCATCCAGATTTTCCATCCGGTCAGTCTATCACGTTCAGCGAGGTAAGACTATCTGATCCTCAGTGGGTTGTTTTGTTTACTTCAGAACAAAATGAAGATGCATTTCTGCAGTTGCACATAGCCTACACCTTTCAGGTTACATGAATCCCACCTTCACAGGCAGGACTGAAAAGCAACTTGTGAACATAATGCAGATCGCCCTGTTCTCTCCTCTGCCCGGAAAGGTTTCCTAAAACTGAAATGACATTTCCCTGTCATCATTCCCCTTCTGCAGAAATGTGTGTGTAACGTAATTAACCTCGTTCTGCAAGGCTACAGCTGAAGAAAGCACAGGAGCTTTGCTCCGTTTCTCTCAAGTGACTAATGAGCAGATACTATCCTCTCCTCTCACAGTGCAGCTCCATGTCCACAGAAACTTACGTCTTTTCCCAAGACTCTGAGTTCAAACTGGGTTTCCTTGAAGTGCACCTTCGTAATCCGAGGCCTGGAAAACAAAGCAGACAGTGTTGTGCTTGCTATTTCCAGAGCACACCACTTTTCAGAAACTCATAGAGGCATCCAGCACAACAGGACTGAGAAATGCAGGCTCTTCTGTATTGTCGAGGACACTGCAGAGCAACCGCAGATGTCCAGGCCTCTGGACATCCTCTCTCTGTTTCCCCACTAACGCACAAGCAATCCTGGAATCCCCAGGCCTATGGGACCCACCATCTAGACACACAGGGCCTCCCCGATCCCTCCACTCCACCTCTTAGAGTTAAAACACCAGTTAGTCCTGGATACATGGTCCAGCAACACACGGGAGGGTAGGTGGGAAATCCTGTGACATAGTTCCATGGACAAGAGAGTCCAGAACAACTGAAAGTTACAAAGAAGATGCATAAATGTACAATCAATTTTTCTACTCACAACTGAAAAGACACAAAGCCCAATGGATAGAGCACACACTCTTAACACTGACTCTGTCCCCAGGTTATACCTACCAGAAATACTTCCCCACTTGCTTTTTATTCTTATAGACGACAACGCCCACTGGAGTCAAGCCTAAGAAATATTCGGACTTATTTTCTCCCTGGGGGGAAAAACAAACAAAACATTTCTAAAACCACTAACTTTTTCATAAAGAAACTCTTGGTAAAAACTATAATTGGCCATAGAGACATAATTTGTTGGAGTAATACTAGATTTATTTGAAGACATCATATAAACAAGAAACAAGCTAAACTGTAATAGTCGTTAATTTAACGCTCTGGCCCCCAATCCTTCCTTAAAGGTATTTTTCCTATCGTCAAATCTACACTTGTGACTTCAGCTCATGAAAAGGAACACTTTCTGACAGACAGTCCAGTGCTGCTTATGCACTGGTGGCTAAGCCCAGATGGGATCACCATGGAGCTTAAAATTCAGACAAGGATGAGCTGAGTCACATCAGACTGTCCAGTGAAGGAGGCAGAGTGTAAAAACACACAGGGGCTTCAAACAATTCTGTAGCCACAACCTGAGACCCCACCCCGGGCTCTGTCAAGGGAGCTTGTAAGTGGTTTATCTTGCTTTTGTTCCCGGATGTGGATAAGACTGAGGCCCAACTTTTACCATGAGAAATTTTAGGCAGCTGCCTGCAGACAGAGGCTTTGATTTCCTGAGGTCTAGTGTGGCCCTTCCTACCTCCATTAGTAACTTTTAGACTGCTCAAAAATTGAGAAGCATAATATCTTCCTCCTAAACCCCCGCAGAACCTTCATTTCCAGGCAACGGTAAATCTCAAATAAGACGGGATCCTGAAATGACAGAGCCACAGGATAAGTGGATACCAAGAACATGCAGAGTTGTCTGCTGAACGGCCTGCAAGCAGAAGACAACTGCTCCAGAAAAATCCAACGTCCGTCTCTAGAAACGAATCCTAGAGGGAAGGAAGACCTAACACATGCAGGTCAGCATCCTCAGAGGGAAGG